GTATCCCCCCCCCCCCCAACATATCCTGTGCTTTTTTTACATAGAGCTTTAAATTGGCTGGTAATCAATTTAAGAGGATAGTTGAAATAAAGTCTGTAAATTGGCAGAAAATGAATTGTTTTGACCTGTGTCTTATTTGAAAGTTTATAACTTAAATTTTAATCTATTAAATGAGCTAATGAGCCAAGGATTTTTACAGACAGTATATTAACTGAAGGTAATTTATACTGGACTAAAGAATTTGTGATTTTAAAAGGATATCGACCAACTTCATATTTTCCCAGGGTGTTTTTTTTTTTTTTTTATCCTGTTCACATCTCTATATCACATTATCTCGTTGAAAGTTATTTGAATCAAGTACATGAGAAATCCAATGATTTTATTTAGTTTTTTAGGGTTGTCTAGGTCTTATAGTCAGTATGTCTTTACCAAAGTTAACTAATACTGGACTAGAGAATTTATAATGAATTCGGAAAGATATCGGCAGCATATTTTTCAAGGTGTTTTTCTTTTTCTCCCGTTCACATCTCTATATAACATTCTTCAATTAAACTAATATCTATAATCTGTAGAACTGTATATAAGACCATTTTCTAAGCTTTAGTATACTGTATAACCTTACTCATTATTAGTATAATTAATTATAATTAAATAAATTGAATTTGTCAGGGATTTGACAATGAGCTTGTGAATAAGAAATACAAGTAAATTGATTGGATGATTGATTTAAATACAGGTGGTTGTTCCCGGGAAGAATCAGGAGTACTGTAATCAGTATAAATTATTTGGTTAAGCAAGATATTCTATGAATAAGGTATAAAAAGTGTTTTTTTTTTTTTAATTAGAAAAATCATAAAAACAAAACACTTTTGGACAAAATATTTTGAAAGCTAAAGGTGCTTAAGTAGGTCCAGGAAATGTGTTATCCTGCTCTGAACATTTATTTTGCTAAACCCTCACCATATTGTATTTTAATACAGGATTACTATTTAAGATTATTATTATTTTTTTTTTTTTTTAATCTTCCAATGGTATTTATACTATTCACATTTACCTTTGATCAGCACCTAGAATTGAGGAAATTATTTTATTTTATTATAATACTTAGCCACAATTTGTATTTTCATCACAATATTATAAAGAACAAATTAATTTGCCCTTTTGAAAGTTTTGTAAAACAATAGGAGTTAATATATTTTTTTTTATTAACAGTCATGTGGCTTCACAGAATTTCCCCAATTTCTCTAATTCCCCCAATTTACATATGCTGCATGAGGAAAATTTACCTTTCCTAATCACCCAGACAATTGTCTTTTTCCCATTAGAGTGACATCAATGGCTAATGATCTGTTGTGATGTGTCAATAATATGGGTGTGATATGTTATCGTTATGCCCACATATAAACATCACTAATTTGTCTTATAAATATGTATTAGTGAGGCTAGAGCCTTGATGAAGGCAAAGTCAAAACTACATAAAATATACTGTATTACTGTACTCTTGCACTTAAGATTAAAATTTTTTTTAATCGTCATGGAAACAAAATATGCTTCCATGTAAACTGGAGTTACTCAAGTAGTGACTTGCAGCGATTTCTTTTTATATATAAATAATTGTAAATGGGTATGTTAATGATTAAATGATATTCATCATAGTTAAATATTAAGCGAGTCAAAGTTCGGCTTGTCAGATTTCAAATAAACACTGTTTTTTTGATACATCATCCGCCTTCAAAATGGATACTGTAGATTTTGGATAAACATTAAGTTGTTGAACACACTGTCAACAAATAATATACTGGTGTATATTTGTATTTAATGTGGATTTCCTTCAAATTAAAGTACTTGGATCATGTTGAGATTTAAATCTAAAATGAAATCTAACAATTTTTTTGAAAAATATATGTTCGGGACAGTGATTTATTTAATGTATAGTGACGGCACACATGCAAGTTTATAAAGGCTAACCTTTAACCTTCATATGCAATTAGTCGTCTGCTAGATTTTCAAAATCCAAACATACATGCTCTGACTATTCATTCTAAAGAAAGTTTGAATCTAATCAAGATGCAGCCATTTTTATATTTTAGCTTGCATTTTTACGACTGTTGCTTTCCATATCCCATTCTATTGATCAATGTAACATATCTCAGCTTGTGGCGGATGATGTATCGAAAATTGCTTGATTAATTTCAGGTCCTGCATGCTTTTTCATCTTCCTTCTGTTCCGAGTCCTCTATTATGATTTTTGTTCTGTCAATAAAGTCAGCTTTGTGATATGATAAAAGTTCATTTGTTTACATTCTTCAATTTGTGCATAATCTAAATACTGTAAGATGAATAACATTAACATGATGAAAATGCAGACAACTGGTACAACTTGTTAAAAATTGTTAATTGTAATTTTCACAAAATTCATTAGCATGTACATTAAAATTTAAAATTAATTTACTTTAAAAAAAAAAAAGGACTACTAAACAATCATTGTTTAAATAGACCAATTATAAAAACATGAAATTGGTGTTAATGTTCTTGCACCAAGGTGGTAGGTCAAATCAAGGGGTGGGCATAAAAGTGGGTCGGAGATCCAAAGTGAATTAATTTTTTATTTAACACAGATAGATGGCCACATCCAAACTTTTGACGTTTCCAGTGTCCTTACAAAACCCTTCATGCCCTACTTTTATAATGCTTTATTTTCACTTTTTACAGATGATCAGTGTCAAGCCATAAAAAACAATGGGTTTTCTAGCCAAAGGTAGTTAACAAACAACACACACAGGTTTTTTTAATCTACAGGCCGCAACAAAATCACCATCAGGCAACATGTGGCTGGCAGGCCACACTTTTTCCATCTGGTTCTGATAAAAATTTGAAACAAAGGATACAGATAAAAGCAATGTTTGATTACTAAATGTTTTCCCAGACTCCTTACTCCCACTACAATTAAAAGTGGCTTAACATATATTTTACTCAACAGTATTATGCAAAAATTTTCATAAACTCACAAATATAAATATAGTACTGTATTTAAAAATTGTCAAATTGGTTATAATTGTTGCAGCTCTCTACATATTAATATTCAAAACAAAATACAGTTGTGTAGATATGTGGCTTTAGTTAGCAATCAGAGTGTGGGGTAGTATAAATTGAGAAGAGGCAAGAGAAAAAAACTGCACTGAGCCCCAAGCCAAAATAATTTTCCCTCAACATTCAAGTCCTATCCTGATAACCTTTTAAAACAAGGTACAAATTATTTCAATAACTTTTCAGTCTAACGCCGGGTACTCGCTGCGTCCGACGGCTGTCAGCCAACGCAATTCCACGAAGAACGCAACGAGCATTGGATCATTTTTAATGACGATCCATTCAGTCTGCTGCTGACAATCAGCAGATGGCGTTGCGTTGTCTAGCCTCACAGGGAACAAAGTTGGATTCATCATGCAACAGTCGTACGACTTTAATACATGCACTGAAATTAAGATTATAAAATATGGATCAAAGGTCTTTGCTGTAGGGACACCAAATTGTCTCGGCAACCCTGTACTGAGTACAACCATTTGCAAAGACTATTTCCACATGGCTTTACATCTCCTAGCAACCATATCCCATGCTGAGTATCAGACTGTCTATAGACTCCTTTCAGACGGCTTCTTGTATCTCATCCCGATGTAATCAAACACATCCTCCTCACTAGAAACCGGTAGTGGCTCACCAGGTATGCCTAAAGGAAATAAAGATTATCTGTTAAGCAAATGTTATGTAACATACATTGTGGGTGCCAAAAGAGGCTTGAAGATATACTCTTATGTAAAATTCTGAAAGATAGCCCTCAATCTTCAATAAACACAGAATTGTTCAAATCATTGTTTGAAGAATTTTATTGAACCCGATAATAACCATCAACCATTGCTTGTTTAAAAAGATCAAATATCTCTTCAACTTCTGAGGCACATATCAAAACAATTCAAATTTTACTTCAAATTCAAACTTATTTACTTTTTTTCTGTGAAAATTGTCTGCCAGACCGGGTTTATGAAAAGAATATGTTATTAACATCTTTAAAAAAGTAACTACCTTTATTACAAAGTAATCAATTAAATAAGCATTAATTAGTTGATGGATACTGGCTCTATATATAAATACATGAATACTAGTAATAAAGGAAAGTAAATTCATATTTTTCATCATCCCTACCCCATTATCTCCACCATCAGTTCAGAGTTAAACAATGCAAGTTTAAAAAAATGAACAAAGCAAATATACAACCTCATTACATAATTAAGTTTTTTAATGGACAGTATAGAACACATGAGCAGCATACCTGTACTTCCCATTGGTCGAATTGTATACTCGTTCAGAGTAAACCCTTCCTCCAAGGCCTTGCCTCTCATCTGTTTATTGAAGACATCACTGCCGGTAAAATACAAAGTACCACAGAAGTACTGGTCATGAGGAATAAGCCTGATATCAATTCTTCGGTATAAACGCTCACCTTTCGGGTTTTCTTCATCCTTAGGGAGCCTACAAACACCCTTAAAAACAATTGAAGAGAAATATGTGAAGTAATCCAATGAATCAGCATTTAAAGGAGTTATGAATAGAATTATGCACACGCATTTTCTTGTAATCGCGTCGTAACCTCCAAGATTACTTGCCGTCTCAAATCTAAAACTCACTATTGTGTGTTTATGAATGTTAGAAATAAAACAATGCTCTATTTTATCAGAATATATGGATAAACTGTACATAACAATTGTTTTAAGTGATTTATATTCAACAAATCCTAAATTTTGGTCATAATAATAGATATTTATTTCACAGAATAACAAAAAATGGCCGACAATGCATTGTAGGGAAGGAAAATATGGCAGCTTGAAAGTTGGTGAATTTCTTCAAAAATGAATGCACATTTAATAAAATGACTAAATTTTAGGGTTTAGATAAGATAGTATAATACATACTCCAAGTATCGAAATGCACGCCATCGTACTTGGAGTATGTATTATACTATCTTATCTGAGATTAATCTGTGGACCTTTCAGTTTTAGGGTTTAGGGTTGGAATATTGAACCCAAACTTCAAAAATATGTTTATGACATAATTACGTTCTGCTCAAATTATGTTATTAAGGTCTATTTGGGCATGTTTCTCGAAACCTGGTGATGCAAGTTTACAGCCCTTTTGTGGTTTTGGGTCACATCTATCATAATTCTTATTTATATATAATACATAATAATCAGATAATAAAAAACCCCTATCTTACAAGTATAACTTACCATGAATTTTGTATCACCAATAGAAATGGTATCCGTGACAAAATTTGATTCCTTCATGGTGTCCACCAAATTACGAAGTAGTTCCGGCTTTTTATCATCTGTGGAAGAATAGGATTCATGTGCAAGAAGGCAATCAATATCACCACTTGACACAGCACCCCTCCTATAGCTTCCGCATATTGTCGCAATATAGTTCTTGTCAAGACCCTTGACTTCTGTTAAAATGATGCTCTCAAGCTGTTCCATTTCAGAACGAGGAATTCTTTTTTCAAAGTCTTCAAAATGCCTGAAATGTTATATTAAGTATAGTTATGAGGAATTAGTGTTCTGTGTAAAAAATGTTAGGATTAACTCACAAAAGAATGAAGACATAATCCAGTGGGGTTGTCCTGGAGGTGAATAGGGCAATCCCCTACTCCTTTCTAAAAGGTCTACTGCATTCTACAGAGTCTGAAAGAAAGGTAGTGTGCTATCATGATTGGGTACCAAAGATATGAAAAGATCTCCACGGTTCAGCGCACACACAATGGATATACAAGTTCAGTCGGATGAGCAAAGCTGATCTCACTCTATATAAGATTTAATAATACTACCAGCCATTTGTTAAAATATTTTTGGTGCGAACATCATATGATGTTCTTGGAAAAATATAGCCATTGGATTTTTTTTTCTTATTCTTGTTTGTCTCAAAGTGTGTCAACCATAGCCTTTTATACAACTCTAATATACAGGCCTCCCTCTATATAAAGACCCCTCCAACTAAACCCCATTTTATGTGGTGCCATATTAACAAAGTCTTATCTTCATTATTCTAATTAGATACCACAGCTGCTAAAGACCATGGAAATCCTAGTCACAAAGGTGGTTGGAGAGAGACCTGAATTAAATTATGTTATACATATTATTTTATCTCAAATACCAAAGTTCTAATGTTGCTAAGATTTTATCTTCATTAAATGAAACCTTGGTATAAAAATACTCCTCATACGTATTCTCACCTTAAGCCAATTTTTTGATGATGGTTTAGTTTATCCTCACTCTTTCTTAATTCTGAAAATAATAATAATAATAATAAAAAAAACAATTCAGAAATAGTAATATTGAAAACTATATAAAACGTCTTGTTTTCAGACTACAAGTCCTCTTAGCACACCCATTTATTCTCACCTTCAATTGTTGTGATACCTTCATCAACAAGCTTCCTAGCTGCAGCTGGGCTAATGAGTAAATTATAAAGAAGGTTATTAAAAAAACATAAATATCTCATCACTAACATTATTAAAACCAAGGCTCCCAAGGCCAAAAATACAGATTTTTGAATATTAAAAAATAACAACCCTTTATAACACATCTTTCCCCAAGTTTTTAAATATATTTGTATTTCATTAACCGTTTTTGTGTTTTTCGTCTAAACAATCTTTTTGTGTCTTAGAAAAACCAGTTGTACAACACATCAAAATTGTTTTCCCTCCAGAGCCTGGCTTTAAGTAACATGGATGAATGATATTGGTAGAAAAGTGTCAATGCAATGTTGTGACTAAAGAAAACTATGCAAGAAAAAAGCTTACTATATTTCTTAATTCCCTTACCCGATTCCTGTAACCCTCGTCAGCAAATTTATTGCTACACTTGTGTCATCAGCACGGATATTCTCAAGCTTCTGAAGTTTTCCAGTCTTCATAAATTCATCAATTTTCTTGCCAATTTTATCCCCAATACCATTCTGAGAAAAAAAAGAAAAAAAAACCACCCCATAGATGTCACAACAGTCAAAATCGAAATACAGTAATGTATTATCAAACAAATATACTTGTGTTAAGCTCCATTTAAGTTTTAGTGATGATGGGACATGTCCATATATGGCTGTGATATTGACTTTTCTGCTAAGCCCCTCCCCATGGATATTGTTGCTAAGGTCCTATACATGTTTGTAGGACACATATTTCAGGCCCTGTTCTGATTGGTCAGTTGTCAAGTTTGATTGAAACTCCAAAAAGATCCAATATCTGTCACATAAAATTTGACATTGTGCCACAGCATTATAAATGTATCTGAGGGTGTAGAAAACTTCTGTATTGTATGTTCTGTAATTTATGTAGAGTAAATTAAATATACTGTACCATATGATTATAATGTTACTTACCAGTTTTTTAGCATCGTCTCCATCGATCACTCGAGTTGGATGCTTGGCCAGGACACTAGCTGCCTTGCGATAGGCGTTGTACTTGTGCATTGCTCTTGTAACATTTTTCTCATAATTAGCAAGTTCTGAAATAAAGAGCAAATACACTTTTTTTTTTTTTTTTTTATTAGAACACAGAGGCTGAAATTGCTTAAAAATCAAGAACAAAATAAGAACAAATTGAGACTGAGTTCAACAACCAGGGCTTTTTTTTGTGGGGCCATTTTTTGCTGGGCCTTTCTTTCAGGGCCATTTTTTGCAGGGCCGCTTTCACCTCCAGTGTATACTGCTGTACAATAATAATTTTCCATGTTTGAAAAGTGTGTAAAATAAGAACAAAATAAGAACATTTTGAGCCTGAAATTGGCCAAAAATAAGAACATTGAGCCTGGGCAAAATTTTACTGGTTCTTATAAAAAAAAAAAAAGTGTAAACAAATCTGAAATGGTTTGACATCACTGTGAGTGAGGCCCGTATCCAAGGTCAATGGACATAAACCTATGTTGTGTGTATATTTGTTTATGTCGATTCACCTTGATACGGGCATGCACAGTTCAAACTACGAGTTGGCTTATCAGCTAGGCCTAGCCTAGCATGCTGACTCTAAAATGTGAATGTGATGTGCTATTATAAACCACTGTAATGTCTCAATTTAAATCATAATGCCGGATTTAATGCGCTATTAAAGGTGCTAACTTCACTTGAAGCCCACCAACTGCACTCTATTATTAGCACCCTCCACTATGACCAGAATTCATTTTAAATAATCTAGCTAGGAATAGGCCTGTAATCCTAGACAGCACCTCCCAGGTGACAAAAGTCGTTAGTCTGGCCAGAGGAGCATCTCTATCAGCTGGAATAAGGGCCTACTACTACTAGTGTAGTTTTACCATGAAGGTTGTCTTATTTATAACATAGGGAAAAATGTGTTACAATCGTCTGACTCAGTCTATTGTTTGATTAAATAATGCAAATGGTCAGAAGCCTACTAGAGAGTTGTAGGACTCAGGAGGCCTACTAGCCTAGACAATTCAAACTGTTTGCTTACCAGTGAGGAAATCAACAAAGTCTGCGTTTGGATTTGCTCCTTGTGGCGCTTTTCTTTTACTCATATTTCACCTTAAGATTTTTAGTTACGTGTGGCAAACAACTACTTTATTTAGTTACGTGTGGCAAACAACTACTTTATTTGTACAGAGTAAAGCTTTGACTTTCAACTGTTTTGCGGCCTGGTCGCGGTCTGGTCTTGTCTTCTTTTAAAGCTAAACAGTAAAAACAAAGGACATTCAACTCGAGCGCCTTCGAGCGTGTACAATTAAACTCGAGCAAGTGAATCATTGAGGTGTGACGACAAAAACGATTAACAACAACAACAACGATAGTCTCAAAAGTATCGATATGGAAAATGGCTGAAAAATGTTGTGAAACTCCCAAAATAGCCACATATCAAAGACAGAATGTAGTATCGGATGATGTATCGCAACTCAAAGACTGGAACAGCAAGAGTTTTAGAAGTTATACGTTTCCAACAAAGGAAATCCCTAGGCTAGATGTTTCGGATCCCGAAGTTGAGCGACTGATTTTGGCGGAGGTAGGCCGTCTCTCTCCCCTGGCCTAGACGTCACGTAGCCTTGCTACTACGCTAGCCTAGGCATATATAGGCACATTTTTTTTGCCATCCCAAACTCTAATACGACACCACTTTTTTAAAGTACTAACTAGGGGCCTAGGCCTATGCTTAACAATTTTCAATCATACATTGTTAGCTAATTGGTAACTACGACTAGTCTCTCTTCTGTCGCCACTATTCAAACATTGAGTGATACTCCAGCCGGAGTTTATCACTTATACTATCAAGATCAAGATCAATTGATTGTCTATATATAATTTAATGATTTATTCAAATTGCCATGTTATTAAAAAGTGATATTTAATTAATATTAATATTCATACTGGCGCTAATAATGCACTTTAATAGTACTCCACCCTAACCCTAACCTTAACAATAAACTGGAGTTGAGGTTAAGGTTAGGTTTAGGGTGGAGTACTAAAGTGCATTAGCACCTTGACATTTTTTAAACTAATAATAGGCCTAGGCATACTAACTACCACTACTACTAACTAGGCTATATTTGCACTTTTTATTTTGACAGAAACCTGTAGTCATTAAAAACTCAAAACTAGTAAATTCTGCTTTAAAATGGAACCTTGAATATCTAGAGGAGAATATTGGGGCACAGAAATTCTCAGTTTATTCTTCACCAGATCACAAATTTATGTACTTTGATGCAAAGAAAGCAGGGGAAACAAACTTCCAGCCACACACAAAACAGCATCAGATACTGTTTACAGATTTTGTAGAAACATTGAAGAATGCTGATGTTGAAAAGCGAAGGTATTGTTTGTTTTATTATTATTTATTTGTTGTTATTTCGTTATTCTTTAGTTTGTATTGTTTATATATAAGCCATTTAGGGCCTTGGCGGAATTTAGGGGCAGAGTCTCGGTGGGAGGGTGGGGGATGAATGGCCTGGAAGTTCCAGCATCCTTTGGAATTTTGATATAAATTTTATATCTAAGGAAAAAAGACATGATAGAATTTATTAAACAAAATTAAATTCAAACACAGACAGATTATAATGAACCCAGACTGTAAAGTAAGGCATCCGCTGGAAATATGTCCTCCACAAAAAAATTATGGATAGAAATTCGTCTGCCCTTTTAGAAAAATAAGGGCCGATTTCCATGCATATTCTGAAAAGAGTGTGTGTGTACACTTATGCCACGCCGTCATCATGTTACTCCTGTAATCTTGGCCCTTCATTGGCAATAAATTGTTTTCAAGATCCTTATTTATAACATATAAAGCTTTATTATTTTCTCGTCCATCTTATATCACTCAACAAGTTCCTCAATATGTTCCATCTCGCCGCCTTCGTTCTTATGACAGATCATTGCTATCTGTTCCTTGTGATCATTGCTATCTGTTCCTTGTTTCTATACTAAATATATAAGACTAACGGTGATCCTACTTTTTCTTGTGCTGCATCTTCTCTTTGGAATGAACACCCATCTTTTGTTAAAGACTCAATCATACCTTGATTCTTTTAAAATAAACCTAAAGACTTATTTTTCACCAAACTTCAGGGTACAATGCGCCTTTGAGCCTTTGATCATATTTTTTGGAATTGGCACAATATAAATGTTTGATTGATTGATTGATTGAAAGTAGACTTTGACCTAATCTTAATGTGTTATGCAATACCTGTGTTATACAGTTGTGGACCTATTTTCCTAGCGATTTTCTGCGCAAATTTAAGCTAGTGTTCGAGGTATCATCAATGTAATTAAATTACTTTACAGTATGGTAATGAACTGATCTTTACCCATATCAATATGAAATTAGGATTTTTTTCATTTAATAACAACAATCCGACAATACATTCATGTTATTACAGAGTTGGTTAAGCCTTTTTAGGGTCATTATCGATTTTGTTTTACATTGTTTATTCATAGCCATTCCAACCCTCAAATTGTTATTGATTTAGTGTCAGTCGTAGTGGTAATAATAATAAGTAAATGAACAAATTTTATTAATCACCCACTAAACTACTCAGTCAGGATATTTCGGCTGCATTCCCCGGAGCCCTGTTCACCTCCCTGGCTTCGTATCGTAACAAGGACACTAAATCAATAACAATAAGAGGGTCGGAATGGCTAAGAATAAACAATGTAAAACAATAACAATAATCTTTTTTTTATTAAGTCATCAATTTTATTGAGTTTTAATCTGTGAATTGACCAACAAACGAATTGCTATTTTTTTGTGTATGGGTATGCCCCAACCCACTGGAATCTCTACCACTGTAGAAGCCGCATGTGAGATTATTGTATATTTATTAAATTGTTCAAGATTTTTTACTTTGATGTCCCTATACCAGATTTTGTTTTTTCCCATTAGATATTACTTACAACAAACATTAACAGAAGGTGTAGGCAGAAAGATTGTTGAAGATTTCATCAAGTTCAACTGGACGTGGGTAACGGACCAACAGAAACGGTCTGGATGGGGACCTTTGACCTCTAACTTACTTCTGATTGGCATGGATGGTTGGTGTCATGTGGTTTTTTTTGTTTTTTTTTTCTTGCATTCTTTCATTCAAGTTTACGTAAAAGCTTTTTGTCATGCATAATGCACTGTATACAAGTGTAACATTATTAATATTATTTTAATGGAATATATGAATCTACAATTAAAAGATATTTTCCCTCTATGTTTTAGGAAGAGTTAAATCTTATCACTGGGTATAGGTAGTACCCTAGTTCTATGGAGGAATAAGTTTAGCCTTAACCTTATTCCCCATTGCCTAGTTCTCAGTAGTTTTAGTCAAGAACAAAACAAGGTGTTTTGTCCAGCACAGCACTAATTAGTAATTAATACATTTTATATTCAGGTAATGTAACTCCAGCACATTATGACGAGCAGCAGAATTTCTTTGCACAGATTCAAGGTTATAAGAAATGCATACTCTTCCCTCCAAATCAATTTGCTTATTTGTATCCATTTCCAGTATCACATCCTTGTGATAGACAAAGCCAGGTGATTATTATGTTTATTTTTTTAAATTATTGATTGCACTCTTGCTTGAGACACAAGATAAAAGCAAAATTTATCGTCAAATGAATTTGAGAAATATTATGGCATATCAAAGAATATTATGTGTGTGTGAAAATGAAATATATATTAAAGTTATAAATATAAATTGATGAGCTATCTTCTGAATTGCAGATTAAAAAATTGCTTGCTAAGTATGTAGTGGATTAGGCCTATCTGAATCCAATTTTGGTTATTTTCTTTTTCTTGCCTATGTTATACTCTGCCTGATTTATTTCATGGTGTATGAACATAATCGATGTATTGAACCTTTGTAGGTTGACTTTGATAGTCCAGATTTTGCGAAATTCCCCAAGTTTTCTCAGGTCAAAGGTTATGAAGCTGTTGTTGGGCCTGGTGAAGTTCTTTACATCCCAATGTACTGGTAAGTCTCTGTTTGACAAAATAATGTAAGTTGCCTAAATATGGTCATGATGACATCACATCATGCCCATATATAGGCACACCATGACTATATATGGGCATACAACAGTTTTTATCCAAGAAAATTTGATACAGAACTTATTGTCTATGCTGTTTTCTAGGGTGCAGCCACTTCAGAACACACTTGGTTTCAGACAAAATAAATTTTGGAAATATGTACTACACTGCAGATGATGAAGCCGGCATAGACTGCTTGCGAAAGTGTTTTTAATAAATCATTAGTTATTCTTTAATTTCATTCAATCATTTTTATTTCAAACACAACAAAGAATTCACAGCAAAGTATAAAATAATATCAAAATTTTACAATTCATGAAAAGTATTGTTATTATTATTATGTTACGAAAACCTGCCTTAAGGGGAAATTAGACAATGGAGAAATCAGAGAACAATAGAAAAAACAAAGGGGAAAATAACATGATGTTATGGGGAAACAACAAAAGATATTCCCCTTAAGTCCACTTAGCACATATTATTATTATTATTATTATTATTATTATTATTATTATTATTATTATTATTATTATTATTATTATTTTATTATTATTATTTATTATTATTTTTATTGTTATTATTATTTATTATTATTATTATTTTTATTTATAAATTATATTGCAATTATCATTTCTGTCGAGCTTACTAATATAACTTATAACACAAAAGCCATCATGTATGTTGTAGCAAGGCAAAGTTGCAGTACAGGTTACAAAACAAAAACATTACATTAAAGGAGGAACAACTAACATCACAAAAAAAAAAAAAAAAAAAAAAAAAAAATGGCACAGCAAAAATTGAACATTCCAACAATTTTACATCAAAAATACAAAGTCAATAAAAGCTACTTGTGTTTTATTTTAGAGATTTAACTCAGGCTTCTACATACTTATTTTACTGTATAGGTGGCATCATATAGAATCTGCAATGGGCATAGGTCCAACAATATCGGTCAACTTTTGGTACCGAGTAAGTAGTATTATTGTACAGGTCTCCCTGTAATTAAACACCTCTTCAATTAAAGACCATTTTTCTGTGGTCCGATATTAACAAATGTCTTTTATCTTTATTATTCTAATTATAAACGATTGCAACACCGGCCAGAAAAGTGGTCTTTAATTGGAGGTAGACCTGTATTATGTTATGGTTATTCTCGTTATTGTTTTCTTTGTTTTATTGTATAATATTATTATTATTATTAGTATTATTATTATTGTTATAAATGACGGTGTTGGTGTCCCCATTGTGGCAGTGGTGGTGATGGTTATAATGAAAAACAATGAATTGATGAAGGAATACAGTACTGTAAATCCTCGAATTAGCGCCGCAATGCTTATAAAATTGTTGGAGGCTTCAGTGCGGCACTTATTCGAGAGTGGTGCATATGAAAAAAAATAATGGCATAGTGCTTTCCATGCCCGTTTCTATGTTACCTATCTCACATATTTCTGTGAATATTGCCTAAGCGCTTGGAGGATTTTTTTATTTAAAGGCCATCCATCCACCTAGTAGAAGTAGTTCAGCCTATCATAGACCTTACAGCAACGTAAATAAACGTTTATAAAGATGCCAGACTGTAGGCCTGCATTGAAAATATATCCTCCACACAAAATATAGGCCTCGAAATCCATCCACGCATTTCTGAAAATAAGGGTCGATTTCTGTGCAGATTTTGCTAAAAATTAGACTTTGACCTATTCTTAACAAATAACTACTGTATTATGCAGAAGTTACGATTCTGTGCAACTATTTTCCTAGTAATTTGCCACACAAATTTGAGCTAGTTTTTGAGGTATCATCCACGCAGTTAAAAAAGCTTTACTGTATGTTAAAGATACGATTGTGTCTTCTTTGTGTCATTTATTTTAAAACTGTATACATTGTATTTAAAACCCTGTTTCTCAAGTGTTTCATTACACACAGGGTAATATGTAGGCCTCACCATTAAGCACTGCGGCGCTAATTCAAAATAGAATACTGTATGTTTGGTGTTGCGCTTGTTCAAGAGCGCTTATTTTGAGGATTTACAGTACCATATCAAGATTGCATTATTCTTGTAGGCTGCAATGACACCTAAAGTGATTGACTATCCACTAAAGGATGTGCAGAAGGTCTCTATAATGAGAAACATTGAGAAGATGTTGGCGGAAGCCCTAAAAGATACAACTGAGGTAAGCCAGAGGCTTGTTATTTCAGCAGTTAGGACTTCGGACTTGCAGTCATGTGCTCTAATCCTATGACTCGATTTTTAGTCTAACATGGGGATATAAAATGAATTGAAGGGCCAAAGTGAATTTTTGATTTAATACTGAAGGCCACACTCTAACTTGTGATGTTTTATAGTAAAAATCCAGTGTTACCTTTGATCTTTCCTGAAAGTAATTTAAATATCTTGTTTGCTAATTACATACAAGGCCAAACTATTTTAACTACCTTTTCTGATTATATTCATCAACTCTCTCGTATGGTCTCTTCCGTACACCTTTTGTGCAAGTTAATTTATGTGTCAATTTTCCTCATAGATTGGACCATTACTACATATGATGGTTGATGGACGCTTTAAGAATTGTGAGAAAGATATAATGGGAAACACAGAAGAGGAAGAGAGAAAGAAAAAGTAGATTGAGAGGAGAATATACCAGACTGTGGCCTTCTAACTGTGGGGGAACAATGTAATGCAATTTTATAAGATTCAAGATCCTTTATTGCTGCAAATGCCATCAATGCTGTGGTGGCTCCAGAAATTTGCCGACAAGGGGTCAAACATGTCCGACAGCAGGGTCAGCAGGGTCCGAATCAAGAGGCCGACTAGAGCCTAGATCAGGGTCCTGGAATAAAAAATGCTGGTAGGGTTCATGGAGAGAGTTTTATGATTTAGTATGGTCCAAAATTGTGATTTTAGACCACAATATTTGTAATTGGCAATAAAAATAACGTTTTGGATAGGCAAATTAATGTTTTTGGTGCAATGACCTCGTCATTGCACCCCCTCATGGCATTGGGCAACAGGGGGTCCAGGCTTGTGCTATGGGAGAAATTCCCACTGTCCGCCTGCTGAGGCTGCCACTGCATCAATGGCCATTATCCGCTTCATAACTATATTACAGTCAGAATGATAATATATACATTTGCATAGAAACAGGCTTTATTCTACTGTATTTGAAAATTTAAGTGACCAAGAAGTGTTGTAAAAACATAAATGTACAATTGAAATTGCAAGTGAAGTACCCCTTTAGGGATGTGATAATTATATTGGTAAATGCTTCTTTTGAAGCTTCTGTATGATGAAATGTGAGTTATTGAATTTTAATGAACTAGAAATCACACTAAAGCTAAAATTCTGCAGTCGAAATTTATTATATAATTATCATTGACAGATTTATATGCAAAGGTATAACCAATATCTGTATTTCTCAGATACTCTATGGCTACACAATTAGCATTTGTCTACGTGGCTTGTCAAATGCAGTATGGTATGTGTAAGTGCTATGAAATTTTTGTCCACACTATCAACTTTTATTTGACAGAAGTTTGTTATATGCCCATATATGGTCATGATGTGATGTCATCATGACCATATTTAGCCATGTCAGTTTTATATTTACGTTGTTTATTTCTTTTTCCGTATAAATATAATCAAACACAGAGATGGTAATATATTAGACAGAATATGCCAGCTATTATCTTTTATAAAGTTCTTTATCTTACGGTTATAGTAAGGGTATGGAAGGGAGGTTTGTGCTACCTATAATTTATAAGCCAAGATATAAGTTCAAATCAGATTTATAATGTTATAAAAAATATTGATATATTCTATGTAAAGTTAGATTATAATGAAATTTAAAATGTTATCGAGATATATAAATGAATTTTACTCTTTTTTTAAAGTTCTCTGTTGCAATTAATTAGTGAAGCAGTATCGGTATATTGTTATACAAATAGTGAATGTTTATGAGTAAAATGGGAAGAATATTTTCATGAGTTGAATGGAACAGTTAATCATTCAACAAATGAAAAGATTCTTTCCATTGTACGAATACAAAACATTCATTATTTGTTTTATAACACACCTAAATAGTTCAGCAAGAAGTAGGCCTAAGAAAGGTTACAGGTTGCGTGACATCATTTCATGGATTTAACAACTCCAGAAAAGCTCGGTCCCACGTCTTTTAAACCATTCAAATGGGCAAAATAACTAATGTCATGTGGTACAAAATCAACCAATTAAATAACTGGGATCTAGTTAGATGTGTTATAAAATTTAAGTGTGAATGTGTGTTAAGTTTGTTACATTTATTCCAGGTTCCATCCAAGTATATTAAGGTGTTTTATGGGATTAGTAAAGATTTGATACTCAAGCTAAAGAGTGCCTTATTATTGTGTTTAAAATCTCTTGTTATTATCATCAATGTAGCAGTTATTCCCACCTTTAATTTTTGGGCTATTACTACTTAGTGTTTTTATAATTGTTTTATTATAAATTCATATTCATCAATGTCAGCTGTATTTTTTTTTTTTTTTTTTTTTTGTGAAATGTGTTACTAAATGATTTATGAACCTTTATTAGTGTTTGGTCTTATATGTATAATGTGGTAATTGTGTCACTAACTTTCTATTCTTAACATGAGTTAAGTAAACTGACCATTTAAGGAATCAGTAGTACAGTGGTATTAAAATGTACATGATAAATAAAGATGTTAAAACAACTGATGAGTACAACCTAATTAATTTTGTTGTTCATTCATTCCCTGATATAGTCCCTTAAATTCAACGATCTTGGTAGTAAACATTCTATAAATAATAATTTAAAAAACAATTGACCTGCTTCAATGAGAAACATTTATTTGACTGTTATGAATGGGTTTTTATAATTTTTTAAGGGGTTCCCCAGATTTTACCAAGACAGAATAATCTTTTAATCTTAAACCGATATACTGTATTACCGAATTTCAGTACTTATCATCATTTTGTAACATAACATACTATCATCCTTGTTAAACTTTGTGATTAAAGCTGCAATCGCACAGGATTTCACCGAGACAGGGTAACATTCAAATGGGTATACTGTATCTTGTTGCTCTTTGCACTTGGATTTTTTTCAGTCAGTTTTAATGCAAGAAATAGTAAAACTAACCAAGCCGTGAAAATCAACTACGATATTGAGGGCACCAATCTGTGACATATCTCCATTGTGTAACGCTCAAATGACTCGGAAAGTTCAACCTAAAAGCATGTTGGCATTGGACTTTCAGCTCTGTAAAACAATCCAATTGGTTACAATAACCACTTGTCTCGGGAAGTTTTCCTGAGAGTTAAGTTTCCTGAGCTGTTCGCATTGGACTAATTATGGTAAAACTAACCAGCCTCTCAGTTTTACTGGAAGAAGTTCAGTGCAATGGTGGCTTTAGGTGCTTGTCTTCTTATTCAGGGTTTTAGGTTCAAATCCTGTAACACGCCATTATTTTATCTCACGACTGAAAATAACCTTATTTGAGTGAATCACGTCAGCATTCCAATTAGAGCATTTATCAACCTTTAGTCATTGTAGGTTGTTAGGAAATTGGAAATAATGTGCAAGAGATAATAAGCACCCATGGGGCTAATTAACAATTCTTGCTTTCAAACAGGTGCATTGAGAGAGGAATTAATTGGATGAGGAATTAATTGGATACTCAACACTTAAAAGTTCACATTTTCATAGCAAACTTCTGTTCATTTTACGGAGACAGGATGTCCTGCATTATCATTCATTTCAGCATGTTATGTTAAACATAATGCGCAATGGTTATAAAACAGTTTGAGAGAGCTGTATTTCTCATTGGTAATAGAAAAACATTTCTGGAAAAACTTGAATGCACTGCATTTATACTGCTTTTTGCTGAGTTTTAATATTACTTATTACAGACTACTGGTGTCGGGCCGTAAAAAACAAGGGGTTTTTCTTGCCAAAGTTGGTAGGCGCCCCGCACACATGGTTGTCGCGTGCTGCAACGTAAGCCGTATGTGGCCCATGGGCCACACTTACCCACCAATGTTGTAGTATCTATGTATCAATATCATCTCCTGAATACACTCTACAAAGTAAACTATTACCACTGGTTACAAGTGCAAATTTTAATGTCGCTATTCAAATCATAGCCGGAGCACAGATCAACACAAACAAATATATACACAACAATACCCCATCAAAAAATGGTAGAATCCACTGTACAACGTGAACACAAGTTAGCCATGGTTATAATGTACATACATCAGCCTTTATCATGTTTACACCATATTTATATCATAGATTGGGAGGAGCAAATACGGTATGAGAGGGATGATCTTAGAAGGAAATTGTCCAAATTTGAGTTTTGTACCAGATAATCACATCTTTTACTAGCTTTTTATTTCACAGAAGACATGATCCTACACTGTATTTGGTTAGGCCAACCATATACATCTCAAGACAGGCACACACTACATTGCACAACCAGTGGCGGCTCCAGGGTATAT